TACTTCATCATGTCTCCAAAATACAAGGAATAGGATTCAGGGTCTCGGAATCCGTACCGAGTAAATCAAAAGACACAAATCCATAAATAGGAGTCTGTTAAGAACTCAGGATTAAGATCATTCTATATATGACCATCGGTAGACTCAATTAGAATTTCTATACTTAACGGAAATTATTAGAAATTCATATTGTGTCTGTGTCCTTGTTCCACATAATCTCATTATGCGAAATACACTCATTCAATATCTCACCATATTAACAGTGCGAATAACACCGTTCCATTCTAAATGGGAATGACATGTATTAATAATGTTTTAATTAATGATTCCTAACTTTAATTAAATTCATTATGAACATTGCTTTTTGATTATTATCCTTAAACATTATCCTCTTGTATATAACACTTATATACAAGGTTTGAGGTTACATAAATAATCATGGAATTTTTATTGATATTCATAAAATATTCATAAATATATGCACATAAAATAATGAATAAACTCTTTTATTAAATAAATAATAAATATCTTATTACATCTCATGATTCTAGGACACCATTCCCAACACCATGAACCTGAAGTACCCCTACTCGGCCGAACATGTTCAAAAGTAGGTAAAACAATGCCCAACTCTAATGATAATAAGTTTAAAAATCTTCTGAACACAACATAAAGGGTTGAGTCTTTAGATAATTCTTGTTGATTCTTAATTCTTATTCAGGATGAGTCTGTCAAAATTGAGTCTTCGATGAGGTAAGTAACAAAAATAAGTTAAATAAGGGTTTTTTTTACAAAAAACTCATAGTTTACCTTAGGTAACCCGGCTGACCTGAAATTACTTGAGGTACCCGAATGGTATACGAGTATCCAATTCTACAAGCTGTTGCGGCCCAAATAATTCCCAATCCGAGACCTGCGGGGCGGCCCAATTTTTCTTCAAAATTGACCCACCCCGGCCGACTTACAGGCCTAGTTTTAGTGGAGTATATTAGAGAGTAAATTATTTATAGGGTATATATGAAAAAATAATATTTAAGAGAGTTATAAAGAAAATGTATTAAATTAGAGACACGTTTGAAAAAGTATTTAAAGAAAAAGTACTTGTGTGGTCGAGCCTCGAGCGGATGGGTTCTTGATGAGGCTGTAGTGGGTGGTTGTGGGCCTTGCGGCTCTCTCTCCTAAGAGTCGTGGAGCTTTGGTGGATCCAAATCGCTTGGGCTTGGGTCCCCTTGCCGAAGAATGAGCATGGTGTTGGGTTTGGCTCTATAGTCATTGCCGTCGCTGTGAGATCTCTAGAGGAGATGCTCCATGGGACGTCTTGGCCCCTGTGGTGAGTGAAAAAGGCAAAAAGTTAAAAGTGATGAATAATGTTAGTAACACCAATTTAAATTTTAATTATTGTGTATCAAGTGACGTGATATGTCAGTTGTCATTTTTCTATTAGTAAGTGTTTAAAATTTTATCATCTCAATTAATAAAAGAGATTACATCTATCAATAAAAATATAACATTCACATACTACATCAATTTTATACACAAAAATTAGGATTTAAGTTGGCCATAGTATTACTCTAAAGTGATTAGTATGAATTGTCACCTTTTATTAAATGACCATGTGAGGATTATATGTATAATTTCATTAAGATTTAACGTTTTTGTGATGAAAGGGTCAAAATGGGGTAATATGTTGCGTTTGGAGTAAGGATTTGTGTCATAGTTCGGAATATAATTCATGGCTCGCTACAGTATTTTTTCTCATTAAAAACACACATAAATTAAAAATAATTTTAAATCATGATTCTAAACTCATAAATTAAACATCTACTGTATAATTTAAAAATGTGGTCTGTCACGCTTTAAAGTTTATAGGTCAAAATGGGACCACTTGCATAGCTTGGGGACCAAAAGTAAAATTAACCACGAAACAAAATAACAAAAAATGAGGAACGCCTCACCTGTCAGTGTCATCAAAATAAATGAATAAAAGGACTGATCCACTCTATCTTAAATTTTAATGGAGAAATGTAGGTGCTTCCCAGAGATATTCAAATAACATAGATGAGGCTACTATTATCGTAATCGTAAACGAAGACTCTGAAGAGAGAGAACCAGACATCGCAACGAAATGTCTACGCTAAGCTTTCCACCCGTTCTAACTTCTCCCAAAGACGATGCTATTCACCTTTACCGTGCTTTTAAGGGTACTCTGCTCTCTCTCTCTCTCTCTCTCTCTCTCTTCAAGTTTGTTGATTTTTTTTTAAATGATTACTTTCACAATTAATTTATGGAACCCAAAAACAAAAAAAGAAAAATCCTTCTTCAGTTCCAGCAAATTGCTTTATTTTCACTCAAATTTGGTTTTGTATTTTCTGCTAATTTTCACAATTGCGAAGGGGCACAAAATGTTTGGACTCTCCAAATTTTTGAGGAATAATTGGCAACGGGTTTTAGTAATTTATGTTTTGAAATGTTGTGAATCTTTCAACTTCGTTCATATCTGAATAGTTTTAAGCTTTGTGGTCGCCAAATTCAAAAAAGTTAGGCATTTTACCTTGTATGTCGGCTTGAAAATCCAATTTGAAGACGGAAGATAATGTACAATTTTTTGTTGGCTTACCATGCGTTTCAAACTATCCGACTTTAAGGAAATCGATGGATGTGGACTGTCCTCCGTAAAATTGCTTTATGAGAATCTCCATGTCAATTTGTGAGAAATATACCCTACTACTGAAAACTGATTTTAACCCTACCAGTATAATAACACAATTTTTTTTCTAATGTGATTGACTCTTCAAAACTATGATTCCATGTCCTATGGTAGGTTTTTTTTATTTTTTTTTAGTATAAAGTATAAATTAAAACAAAAAGAAAAAAAGAGTTGTGTAACACAGATAGAAAAATATTTAGAGAAAATTACAGATTTTACCAATTGCTAAAGGTACCCTTTTGAAAAACTTTATTCGTTAACTAGTTCTAATTTAAAATATAGAAATATATAGGCTAATTTTAAGGGGTAGAAATAAAAGGACTACATTCAAGGAGTATTTTTAAAAATTTCCCAAGAATTGACTATGTATTAAGATTTCACATTTAGGATTTTTTTTAAAAAGGAAAGGTTTAAGGTATGTTTGTGTAACTAATAACGATCCAGAATTTGAGGATATTTTTGTCAATTCGAAGGATTGTACTTTTTAGGTAATTTGTTACTCTACATGTGAAAAGGCAGATTAGAGAAAATAGATGCTTGATTTGAAGTGTATACTCGTGAGAAACAGAGGAAGAAAGAGAAAATGGATGTGAGATTTCCCAGTCGTTACATTATGGATGCATAGAAGTCAAAATTAGCAGTGAGCCTGTTAAGTTCAATTTCCTCACTTCATGTTGCAGTGGAATGAATAGATTCCAATTTCGGGCCATTATTATGACCTGTCTTTCTTTCCATCTATCTATCTATCAAAGATTTGTAATCAATTCTGGACTACCCAACTCAAACTTTTCTTTCTTTCTCACTTCTTATATCCTATAGCAAATGATTAGTATCTTGAAGAAACTTGGCTGGTTTTCATAACTTGTTGTCATTGGCATTAGTAGCGTGATTCATGAACAGGTAACCTCGCTCATTTGATACAATGTCGTTATTGACGTTAGATATAATGATCCTTGTGAGCTAGTAATTAACAAGCCAAAATTAAAAGCATTCAAGTTCAGTTTAATCAGTATAAGTAGTTAAGCAGGCACAAAAACGATAGGGTGGCATTTATTAATGTTTGTCCCAATTCTTCTACATCTCTAGCATTTTCCCTTCTTTAAACAGCTCTAAATCTTTCTGACCCATATTACTAAAAATTATAACTCAGTCTTGTTTTAGCATAATCTCTTCAATTGTTAAGTGTATAGTTTATTACGATGATATAATGCATTGTGTTTTGTCCCTCTAATGCTCAATACCTGTCCCTGAAAGTGTAAAATTGTAATTGCAACACTTAAGGATTGTAGTAACAATTTTTCGGAGAGAGAGAGAATCAGGTAAGAATGAAAATTTGCTTCTGCCAGTGATGGAGAAAATGCTGCCGTGGGCTGTTCACTTTGCTCCACAGACTGGACCAAAAAAAAAATAACTAAATAAATAAAGGGAGAAGAAATCTGTTTGCTCAACGTTTTTATGGATAAATTGTGTTTGATCTGACAAGTTTGAGGCTTAGAGAAGTCCATCTCATATGAAAATTCCTAATTTAAACTAATCCCTATCCTTAACATGACTAATGGTTTTTATGAATAATGATTTTTACATTAGTAGGACCTTGCAGATTCTTCTCATAACTAAAGATTTTCACATTTCCATTTAACAGATATGAGACACTATAATTTTGATAGTATGACATAATAATCCTTGGGAAAGTATATTACTGCAGATCGAAGCTTGTTCATGCGTTCAAAAAAGAGTGATAGGAAAATAATATGCCTAGTGGGTAGATTGTTGCGGTCTATGATTACCGACTTTGATGATTGTTTCCAACGTTCACATTCGAATGACAAATTGAACTTAAACAAAAGAAAAAATGTAAAGTTGAACTTGGGACTTCGATATCTAGGTTCACAACATTCTGCTAGTGTTAACTTCCCAGAATCTTTTTTTTTTTTTTGTGGTTAATTCCTAGAATCTTAACATAGAACATACTTATTCAACTAGCACACAATCATAGGAGTCATGAAAGCTGTCAACATCCTTCTGAAATCATTTATTGATGTTCCATTTGTTGGATTGTCTTGTCCTTCTTTACAAAAAAATTATATATATACATATATATATATATATATATATATGCAACTCAGTGAAATGATGGGTCATTACCAGATTGGAATACTATTTTTATTTCTAATTTATTGAGGCCTGCTTTTCCAGGGTTTGGTTGTGATACAGGAGCAGTGATCAATATTCTTGCTCATCGGGATGCGACACAGCGTGCTCTTATCCAACAAGAATACAGAGCAATGTATTCTGAGGACATCCTAAAACGTTTAGAGTCAGAGCTTAGTGGCAGTTTAGAGGTACCGATATAAAACCACTATACCTTCATGCTAATGTAGATTGATAACGCCGATTTCTGTGAACATTTTAGTCTAATTATTTGATGAGATCTACTAATGTTGAAGTCAACAGAATTGAAGTTCTTTTAGCTCAATGTTCTTGATTAATATTGGCATCTTTAGAGGTTTCTTATTTTTTTTCTTATTTTTTTCTCCTTATGTAATTTGCTCCTCATTGTTCAGACAGCAATTATTCTCTGGATGCATGATCCGGCCACACGTGATGCCCTAATTGTCAAGCGGGCATTAAATCCAGACATACTGAATCGAGAAGCTGCTACCGAAATAATATGTTCTCGCACTCCATCCCAGATCCAGCATTTTAAACAAATATACCATTCCAGATTTGGAGTTTACCTTGAACATGATATTGAAAGATACACTTCTGGGGATCTTCAAAAGGCGGGTTTTCTGGGTGCTTCTTACATACGATCAAATTAAGTAGACCTCTCATCTAGTGATAGTTACTTGGCCAGGCAAAATACTAAAGTATCAAAGGCTATTTCTTGTAGTCAAAATAGTAATAAGATTAGATTTTGGAAGGAATAAAGTATCAAGTTTTTATTTAATCTCTTGTTTTAGAATCATGCATAAATTTAAAATGATTTAAACTAATTTTCTAAAATGTTAACAGCTTTTACTATCATATGTAAGCACACAACGCTATGAAGGTCTGGAAGTTGATAGAGCGACGGCTGTAAAGGATGCAAAGAGTCTGTATAAAGCAGGGGAGAAGAAATTAGGAACTGATGAGAAGGCTTTCATCCACATATTCAGCGAACAAAGCAGAGCACATTTGGCTGCTGTTGCTTCTGCTTATCGTGACATGTTTGGCAACTCACTGAAAAAGGTATGGCAACTTACTGAAAAAGGTTTAACTTTTTCTATGTTCTTGTTTACTTCCCAAAGTTTTAGTTCTGGTTGTCTGGTTACAGTGACGGACTTGTCAAAATTTTTCAGGCAGTAAAGAGTGAAACGTCTGGAAATTTCGAGCACGGTCTTTTGACAATATTACGTTGCTCTGAGAATCCTGCGAAGTATTTCGCTAAGGTAAACTGCCATTAATCGAAAATACATGTCTAGCTGATACAAAATTTATTTTACTTCTGAATTAATTCAGGAAGTTGCATTTTTCTGGTTAAAAATTGTATGAAGCAGCTGTAAAAGTTTTTGATACCAGCCCCTAACCCAAAACAAAAAAAGAAAAGAAAAGAAAAGAACAATGCATTCGATATTAGAGGTGTGCCTCAGTTCATATCCACCACTCCAACTGATTGTTGAGGATCTCAATCTTTACTTCCTGTGACAAACACAATCTTTTATAAAATGTGAATTTCTTGTGAGCCATTTACTCAGAAAAGGGAAAGATAAATAGAAAAGTGTAAATGATGGAATGAACAAACTTTAGTGTTCCATGGAAAGTTTACGCATTATGAATTAACATGAAACGTGAACTTGTAGTTCTTTTTTATCTTACAATGGATTAGTTCGATTTTGAATGAGTAATTACTTGGTTTTCCGAGAAATCAAATTATTCCATTTAATTATAACAGTCCGGTTCCAACAATTACAATAAGCTTTATTTCTTCAATCAGATAAAACTGTTCTTCACGTGAGTATAGTTAGCATAATGTCAGAGTATCTAATTTTTTTGTTCATGATGACTTCTCCTTTTATTATTAATTAATGCTTATTGACATTATTGCCATTGTTATCAACATCATCTTCTTTGTCGTCACGAAAGACGGGCATTATATTACTTTTGCAACTTTTATAGGTGTTGCATAAGGCAATGAAAGGACTAGGAACCAATGACAGCACACTTGTAAGGGTGATTGTGACGAGGACTGAAATAGATATGCAGTACATCAAAGCTGAATACCTCAAGAAGTACAAAACGTCTTTGAATGACGCCGTTCATTCGGAAACATCGGGCCATTACAGTACTTTCCTTCTCTCGCTCTTGGGTCCCAACCATTAGCCGGATGATTGACTAGTGCTTTATGGGATTTAGATTTAGAAAAATCATTCAGATCGTGTCGCGAATGCTGAGCTAAGATGCGCGTTTTCGTTTCTGCAAGTATTGTATTTTGCATGCAGACATGAGCATGACAACAATTTGTGTTTTTCTGTGTTGTTAATATGCGTGACTACTGATACCATTATGTTGGAGCTTCTTTCACTTGGGTGTTATGTTGGGAGATTGTTAAAATTGAGTGCCAGAAGTTCCATATTGGATATCTAAAAGGAAGCTTCATGCTTTATATAGTTTTGTATGCAATAATGAAATGCTTGTGAATAATATATGCCCCTAATCTACACCATTGGACGGTGCTTGCATTGCTTCTAGTGTGCACGGCACTTTGCACTTGCGGAATTTCAGATCGACATGACTAAAGCAGTTTTATAATGGAGGTGTATAGTTTTAGAATAGAGGCACCTGTTCATGAATAAACACGAATTTTTCCTAATTTAGTTATCAGTTTTTTGGAGGAATTCTATGAAATTGTTATTCATAAAATTTGTGGGTTTATTGTATTTTAAGGTAATTTATCAGAAAGCCTGCAAGCAGACTCTTTTCAAGTGGAGCAAATAAAAGCTCAAGGAAAGTAACTACTTGAGTCTCGAATCCACAGTTTCCATTACGAAGAAAGAGTTCTCAATTTCCGGCCCGTTTGATATTGTTTTTAGATGCTATTTTTAGTTTTTTTCAAAACAAGCTACAGCTGGTTAGGATGTTTGATCAATTTTCTTTTTGTCCATTAACTTTTAAAAACTGTTGTTAAACAACAAAATTTAAGAAGCAGGCAGGGATTGTTTTTGCACAACAACAGAAGCGGCCATTATCCAAATTTAATAAGATAATCTCAATAATATAACTTAATTCTCAATATATTTATTTTACTTTTTTCATACTAAATTAAAAATATATTTTTTTAAAATAATTATTTACAAATTTAAAATCTTAATAAATGCTATGCTAAATTTCATTCAAGTATTTTTAATAATTATCAAAATATTTAATAATAATAATAATAATAAATATTTAGTAGATGAATCATTTTTCTTCTTGAATAAAAGTAATTTAGTTTTAAGAATTATTTTATTAATAAAATTTAAAATATTATATTATGAATATTGACCATAAAAATAAAAATAAAAATAAAACTAACTATATACATGTGATAAAATATGTCTACTTTCGTCATTATACATTTCAATAAGTATTTCATACACATTTTACCAAACACCTAAATTTCTGCTTCTGGTACTCAAAGCAGTTTTATAAAAATATTTACTAAACATCTATATGCTTCTGGTCACAGTAACTTATTACTAACAATACAACAAATGCAAAAATTTTCAACAGCACAGTAATGTCAAACTGACCCTTCATATTTCTTCAATGTTAGGGATATAATTGTCAAAACATACTAGGCACCACTAATCCGGTAGAAGATCAAAATTTTGGGGAAAAGAGATTTCTCTAAATGAGGAAAGGAGACAAATACCAAATGCATGAGTCCGGACTTTTACTTCTCCTCCTTCTTAGTTAATATTCTTTTTCGTCAAGTAACTATATTACTTAAACTAGTATTAATTAAGAGTAAATTGCAAAAATTCAGACCCACACACTCTATGGGTGAGCTCATCAATTTTCTCCAAACAACTTAATTTACTCCCATAATGATGGCATGTGGATGCAGTAGGAAAATCTTGATCTCTTACACCAAATTTAAACTCAAATCTAACAAAAATAATTACAAAACAAGCATATATCGTCGCCAGTACACACACTACTACCTCCACCATGCATTGGCATCTCCGTCGACACCACCATGACCATTGTATTTGTCGGCTGCCGATCTCAAAAACCCTCAGCACCAATTGCTGCTAGTCGCCGGCTGAACGTTGCGATGGTTTTCCTTCCACGCCCCAATTTGTTGCCTCGCCATTGCGACAAAATTGGTGGCTACTTGTTGGGATATGTTCCTCATCACCTTCTGAGTCGAACAGACCAACAATGACCCTAACTAGCACCAGAAATGCAAACTCCAACAACGATAGCACACGACAACTCTAGCCACATCAGACGGTGGCGCTCCTGTGGAAATCGGATGAGAAAAATAGATGAATTTTCTTTGTCTCGTCACTTTGAGTCCATCAGAATCGGACTCATATTAATCGAAAGTCGGACAACGGAGATATCATGATCAGAATTTTTATTGCTTTCCGGAATTTTTACCAGCAATTACGGTAGGTGTTAGCCAAGGTGGAGGTTGTAAGACGCATCAACAAACTCTACTCATTAAGATCTTTTTGATGGTATGGGTGGTGTCAAAAACTGACGCTGGAACTCCGTTGGAGGTGGCGACCGTTCACGGAATAGAAAGGATTATTTATTTATTTATTTATTTAAATCAGGTGTTGTAGTCTATATTTTTGTTTCTGTGAGCCTAATCATTTTGAACGAATTTAATGCGATCCACGGAACCATATAATTAATGACCAAATCCATCATCCATACATTCATTAACATGAATTAGATATAAACTATTGGGAATGGTGTCCTAGAAGCATAAGATGTAATATGATATTTATTATTTATTTAATAAAAGAATTTATTCATTATTTTATGTGCATATATTTATGAATATTTTATAAATATCAATAAAAATTCCATGGTTATTTATGTAACCTTAAACATTGTATATAAGTATTATATACGAGAGGATAATGTTTAAGGATAATAATCAAAAAGCAATGTTCATAATGAATTTAATTAAAGTTCAGAATCTTTAATTAAAACATTATTAATACATGTCATTCCCATTTAGAATGGAACGGTGTTATCCGCACTATTAATATGGTGAGATATTGAATGAGTGTATTTCGCATAATGAGATTATGTGGAACAAGGACACAGACACAATATGAATTTCTAATAATTTCGTTAAGTATAGAAATTCTAATTGAGTCTACCGATGGTCATATATAGGATGATCTTAATCCTGAGTTTTTAACAGACTCCTATTTATGGATTTGTGTCTTTTGATTTACTCGGTACGGATTCTGAGATCCTGAATCCTATTCCTTGTATTTTGGAGACATGATGAAGTAGGTAGCCGGAAATGTTATTACACGAGATGGAATCCATTCCTTCTTAAGAAAGAAGTAGATAAATAATTCTCTTGAGGGTTGATTCGGTACTTGGACCAGTAGGAGCTCCGATTCATGAATGTGTTTTATGAATCACTGTCTATTAGAGAATCAATGGTACTCAAGG